ATCCTTGGCTAGAATTTATTTATCATTTATTTAATTGCTATTTACAATTGTATTAATTAATTATTTATTTTTGGTTAAATTATTTAATTATTTTTAGTTAAATTGTTTAATTATTTTTAGTTTATTTCTGATAAAAATCCCCCGTGTCCCGAACTTGAAAGGAATCAAATTTTTCCCAATCCCTGTGGATTCGACCCTACTCACTACTATACACAGAAAATTTATTTTTCTCGAGTAGGTATTTATTATTGCACAGGCTCGACACCTGTCAATTTTTGGCGCCGTTGCCGGGGACTGGCGTTAATTATTTGTTTCTTTTAAGTTCATTTTTTTTCCTGGTATTTTTCTAGTTTATGCCTCGCTCTTCTCGTACAGGCGAATTAATTTTCGACCCTGAAGTAGAGAAGACCGCGCGTAGAACGAGGAAAGAAACCAGGCGGCTTAGGGAGGAGCAATACGATATTGCACCTCAGGAACTTGATCCAGAGGTTGAGCCGACAAATTTGTCTGGTGACAATTCAAGTGATTCAGACCAAGAGGAAGTCACTATGGCAAATGCACGAACACTAAGGGAGTTGGCTGCTCCTGATTTAAATCAGCAGCCCTTGTGCATTACTTTTCCACATTTAAATGATGACACTCCCTTTGAACTAAAATCTGGTCTAATTCATCTCTTGTCATCTTTTCATGGTCTACCAGGTGAGGAGCCCTACAAGCACTTGCAAGAGTTTGACGTCGTTTGTAACAGTATGAAGCCTCCGGGAATTACAGAAGAGCAAATAAAGATGAGGGCCTTCCCCTTCTCTTTGAAGGACTCCGCGAAAGACTGGCTCTACTACTTACCGCCTGGTAGTATCACCACGTGGGACCAATTGAAGAAAAAATTCTTGGACAAGTACTTTCCGGCATCTCGAGCTGCAAGCCTAAGGAAGGAGATATGTGGCATCAAACAACACCCAGGCGAGTCACTCTATGAGTACTGGGAGAGGTTTAAGAAACTGTGCACCAAATGCCCTCAACATCAGATAAGTGAGCAACTGCTCATCCAATATTTCTATGAGGGATTACTTTTCAGGGACAGAAGCATAATCGATGCTGCAAGTGGAGGAGCGTTGGTGAACAAAACTCCTCGAGGAGCCTGGGAGTTGATTGAGGGGATGGCTGAGAACTCACAGCAGTTTGGTTCAAGAGAGGACATCCCGACGCGTAGGGTGAATGAGGTGGAAACGTCCTCTATCCAACAGCAGATCTCCGAATTAACATCTTTCGTAAGACAATTAGCTGTGGGGAGTGCTTCACAAGTCAAAGTGTGTGGGGTGTGCACTGCCGTGGGTCATCCTACGGAAATGTGTCCATTGGTTCAAGAAGAAACTGCTGAATAGGTGAACATGGCTGGCCACGCGCCCGCGCCAAGAAAGCAGTACGACCCGTACTCAAACACCTACAATCCTGGTTGGAGGGATCACCCCAACCTTAGTTATGGAGCAAATAGGCAGTCTAACTTTGTGCCAAATAAACAGCAAGGACACCAACAGCAGTACCATTCTCGCCCACCACCACCACCACCCCTTTCAAACTCAAGTCCGTCCATGGAAGAGATGATGAAGCAATTACTTGCTAATCAACAAAAGACGGATTCAGACTTGCAAAGCATGAGGAATCAACTGGGACAGGTGCAATCATTGCAAAATCAAATGAATCAAATGGCTATAACAATCAACCGGTTGGAGTCCCAAGTTCAAGGAAAGTTGCCATCTCAACCTGAGGCAAATCCAAAGAATGTAAGCGCAATGACCTTAAGGAGTGGCAAGGAAGTTCAAGGACCCGAACCGGTGATTCCTAAAGACAAGGACGAGGAACGGATTGAGAAAGAATTGGAAGAGGAGGGCACAGACAACAAAAATGCAAAGGTACTCTCGAATCCAATTCCTACAACTAAAACTAATCCACCTCCCTTTCCTAGCAGGTTAGAAAAACCAAAGAAGCAAGACAAGGAAAAAGAGGTCTTGGAGATCTTTCGCAAGGTGGAGATCAACATACCCCTGCTGGATGCGATTAAACAAGTACCCAGGTACACAAAATTTTTGAGGGACTTGTGTGCCAACCGCAAGCGGTTGAAGGGGGATGAATGAGTTATAGTTGGGGAGAATGTTTCAGCAATTCTACAAAGGAAACTTCCACCAAAATGCGGAGATCCAGGTATGTTTACTATTCCTTGTAGGATAGGTAATACTTTGATTGGAAAGGCCATGTTAGACCTAGGAGCCTCGATTAATGTCATGCCAAAGTCCATTTATGCTTCATTGAACTTAGGCCCTTTGAAAGAGACTGGGATAATAATCCAATTAGCTGACAAGACCAATGCATACCCTGACGGGTTGATTGAAGATGTTTTGGTAAAAATTAATGAATTGGTTTTTCCAGCTGATTTTTATGTGCTCGACATGGAGGATGAACACTCCCGTGATCCGTCACCTTTGTTGTTAGGTAGACCCTTTTTGAGCACAGTCCGAACCAAAATTGATGTTAATAAGGGTACTTTGTCTATGGAATTTGATGGTGAGATTGTTCACTTTAACATCTTTGAGACCATGAAATATCCATCCGATTCAAATATTGGCTCTGTTTTCTCGATAAATGTTATTGACCCTGCTATACAGGAGGTTTTTGAAATTGAAGGCAGGGATGAACTAGAGGTCGTCCTGACCAGGCACTTTGAGTCCGAAACAACCTCTAGGGTAGAATTGAGTGAAGAACTTAAATGCGTGATTGGATCGTTGCAAACGTTACCAACCACGAAGACAAGGTATGATCTTGCACCGATTTTCATACCCGAACCTCATCAAAGGTTACTTCCATCTGTGGTGCAGGCACCTGTCTTGGAACTAAAACAACTGCCGAAACACCTAAAGTATGTATACTTAGGTGAAGGGGAGACACTTCCAGTGATCATCTCCGCGGGTTTATCAAAGGTTCAAGAAGAGAAATTACTTCGATTTCTTAGGGAACATAAGCAGGCGATAGGATGGACCATCGCCGACATCAAGGGAATTAGCCCCGCGGTGTGTATGCACCGAATTCGACTCGAGGAGAATGCTAAACCTGTACGGCAAGCTCAACGGAGATTAAATCCTCTCATGATGGAGGTCGTAAAGAAAGAGATTTTAAAATTGCTGGACGTTGGAATTATATTTGCAATATCAGATAGCCCGTGGGTAAGTCCAGTACAGGTGGTCCCGAAGAAGGCAGGGGTGACAGTGGAATCAAACCAAGAGGGTGAGTTCGTACCAATTCGAAAGCCCACCGGATGGCGACAGTGTATCGATTACCGAAAGCTAAATGCCGTCACGAAAAAGGACCATTTCCCCCTCCCTTTCATTGACCAGATGGTGGAGCGATTAGCATGTCGAGCTTACTATTGTTTCTTGGATGGATTTTAAGGTTATTTTCAAATTGCCATCGCACCCGAGGACCAAGAGAAGACTACTTTCACCTGCCCATTTGGAACATTTGCATACCGAAGGATGCCATTTGGATTGTGTAATGCACCTGCTACCTTTCAAAGATGCATGGTAAGTATCTTTTCAGAATATGTTGAGAAAATTATTGAGGTTTTCATGGACGATTTCAGTGTATATGGTGAAAGTTTTGAAAACTGTCTAGATAATCTGAAATTGATCTTAGTAAGGTATATAGAAACTAATCTCGTGCTTAATTGGGAAAAATGTCATTTTATGGTTGAACACGGGATAGTTTTGGGTCATGTAGTATCATCTACAGGTATTGAGGTTGATAAGGCAAAAATAAATGTTATATCTACTTTACCTTACCCCGCGAGTGTGCGGGAAGTTCGTTCCTTCTTGGGTCACGCAGGTTTCTATAGAAGGTTCATCAAGGATTTCTCGAAAATTGGAGCACCCTTGTTCCAACTTTTGCAAAAAGATGTATCCTTCGAATTTGATGAAACATGTAAGGGGGCATTTAATAAGTTAAAGGAGTTATTGATCACCTCACCTATTATCCAACCCCCTGACTGGAACCTCCCATTCGAGATCATGTGCGACGCCAGTGACTATGCAGTTGGTGCGGTATTGGGTCAAAGAGTAGGAAAAGCAGCTCATGCTATTTACTACGCATCTCGAGCCTTGAACGGAGCTCAATTGAACTATTCAACCACCGAAAAGGAGCTTTTAGCAATTGTTTTTGCCTTAGAAAAATTTCGGTCTTATTTACTTGGTGCTAAAGTTATTATTTTTTCTGATCATGCAGCTTTGCGGTATCTGTTGACCAAAAAAGAGGCAAAACCGCGATTGATACGGTGGATATTGTTGCTACAAGAGTTCAACCTGGAGATCCGAGATAAGAAAGGACGGAGAATCTAGTAGCAGATCACTTGAGTCGAGTACAAGTCACCGAAGATGACATCCCATTGAGAGAAGCATTCCCCGAGGAGCATTTATTTTCTATTAATTCATCTTTGCCTTGGTATGCAGATATTGTTAATTTTCTAGTCACTGACAAATTTCCTACAGGATGGCCTAAGGCAAAGAGAGACAAGTTGAGGAGCGATGCAAAGTTCTACATTTGGGATGATCCTTACCTCTGAAAGCGGGGTGCCGATCAAATCATCCGTAAATGTGTAAGTGAAGTTGAATTTCAATCTATTATAGCCTATTGTCACTCTTTTGCGTGTGGAGGTCATTTTGGACCGAAGAGAACAGCTCGTAAGGTGCTAGAGAGTGGATTCTATTGGCCAACTCTATTCAAGGATGCCTACTCATTTTGTAAGTCATGTGATAAGTGTCAAAGAGTGGGTAATATCTCTCGTAGGGATCAAATGACTCAAACCCCAATGATTTTTGTTGAAATTTTTGACGTTTGGGGCATTGATTTTATGGGTCCTTTTCCTTCGTCCTTTGGTTTTTTGTATATATTGCTTGCTGTAGATTATGTTTCGAAGTGGGTAGAAGCAAAGGCCACCCGCACTAATGATTCCAAAGTGGTTGCAGAATTCGTTAAATCTAATATTTTTGTTCGTTTTGGGATGCCGCGAGCAATTGTAAGTGATCGGGGTACTCATTTCTGCAACAAAACGATCGCTGCAATTTTCAGGAGGTACGGTGTCTTGCACAAAGTCTCCACTTCTTACCATCCTCAGACAAACGGTCAGGCGGAGGCATCGAACCGAGAGATCAAGTCAATTTTGGAGAAGATGGTTCGACCCGATAGGAAGGATTGGAGTATAAGACTTGAAGATGCCTTGTGGGCATATAGAACGGCGTACAAGACGCCAATCGGCATGTCCCCTTACCGTTTGGTATTTGGGAAGCCATGCCACCTCCCTGTCGAGTTCGAGCATAGAGCATTTTGGGCAGTCAAGCAATGCAACATGGATATCGAAGAGGGCAGAATTCAAAGAAAACTGCAGTTACAAGAATTGGAGGAGATTCGCAATGAAGCCTACGAGAATGCTGTGATTTATAAGGAGAAAAACAAGATTTTTCATGACCAGCAGGTCTCTAGGAAGACGTTTGAATGTGGACAAAAAGTTCTACTGTATCACTCCAAATTGAAGTTATTTCCAGGTAAGCTACGTTCTCGTTGGATTGGTCCCTTTGTGGTAACTAATGTCTTTGATTATGGTGCAGTGGAGATCCAGAGTCTAAGGACAGAGAAGAAATTTGTGGTGAATGGACATCGTCTTAAGCCGTATTATGAAGGGGTTCCAGTTGAGCGGGTAGAGATGATGCATACGGGTTATGTCTAGCCAAAGACACTAAAGAAAGGCGCTAGTTTGGGAGGCAACCCGAATATTAGTCTTGTTATTTCTAGTTGTTCTTCTTTTGCATTGGGTCATTTACTTGTTGGGTAGTATCTGTATTAATATTTCCTTCACTGCAATCAGGAAGTGAAATCTTGGCGTGCCCACGCGGTGTTTGAGTTTTCTGAGACCAGAGGACGAAGACCAATCTTGGCGTGCCCGCGCGGTGTTGGACGACCCAAACCATGTTTTTGCAAAAAAATAAAATAAAAATAAAATAAACTAAAATAAACTAAAAAAAAAAAAAAAATTCCTCTTCTCTTTTCTTTTTCTTCTTTCTTTCTTTTCTTCTTTCTTTCTTTCTTTCTTTTTTCTTTCTTCCTTCTTCCCCGCTGCTTTCTTTTTCCCCTTTTCTTTTCTTCTTCATCCGCCTGCCGCTCTGCTCCACAGCCGCGCGTCGCACTTCCCACCGCCGCCCACCCCAGCTCTTCTCGCCGCTGCCTCGGCTCTCCTCGCCAAGGGTGACCACCAGCTCATCTGACCTCCTTCACTCTTGCCATAGCCACCGCCTCCAAGATCCGCCTGAAGCCCCGAAAGCCGCGCACCACCAGATCCAGCTGCCGCAAACTCTTCTCTCTCACAGCCACCACCTTCATCGCACCACTGGCTTCGTATGCACGCACCTGCCTCAATCTCTTTCTATTATTTTTTTTTTATTTTCTTATTTTATTATTGCAGTATGTTTTTATTATTTTTATTACAGTACGTTTTTGAAAATTTTGTGTGTTTGGACTACCTGACATTTCTATTCCTCCTTAGTTGGGTACTTCTGTGTTACTTTGCTTGTTTCTTTTTACTTTGCTTGATTTTTATTTATTTAGTAGATTGACTTGTGGTTAGTCGTGTGATTTACTTATTCCTTATGCGTGCACCGATGATACTAGTTTAGGGTGTTTTGCATATCTTTATTGATTAATCATTATATATATATATATATTTTAGGTCGAATTGTGTTTAATCTGCTGTACTTTGTGTCTAACTGTGGGTAATTTGCTACCGTTGTTTGTTCAATTGGGAGGTGCCTTTAACACTTAAATTTACTTATTGAAGTAGATTGCCTTCAATTGCCTTATATGAGAGCCTTTTGTCTGTTTGCATTTCAATTGCTTTAGCAACTGTTGTTTATTGTGGTTTGGAGTGCAATTTGGAAAGAAATGGTGAAACCCAAATCTTCTTCTAAGTCTAGAACACCCCGGCCCTTCGACCTCCGCTCCACCTCCTTCAACCCCAAGGGCTGATCAGAGAATTTGGCGGCGTTTATGCACCACGCGAGTGTTGAACCTCAATTTCCGCCTAACCCGCCGCTATCTTGACAACTTCAGGGGAGTTTCGTTGCCCTGCTTCTTACTTTGTCTTTTTCTTTATCACATTGAGGGCAATGTGTGCTTTAAGTGTAGGGGGGGATTTGGATTTAATTGGAGTTTCTTTAAATTGTTGCTTTTCTTATTGTTGTCTTGATGAATAAATGTGGCAACTCACTCTTCTATTACTGGTTGTGATTTATCCTATGAATTTAGTTTAAGTGGCAAGTAAAGGCATGTTATCTTGGTGAATATCATAAGTTTAATGACTTGGTGCAAATTGTGGTTAACTTGTTTAGGCAATATAAATATTTTATTAGCAATTGTTGTGTGGATTGGGCAATTGTTGATCTCAGTTCTCCATGTTAGGAGATGACGTGGGTCATGATCTTTAATTATCTGGTATTCTGATGCTTTAATTGTGGTTAATAAATGACTCTACTCCGCTAGTGTCATCACCCAGTAACCGGGAGTCTTCACCACAAGTGTCGACTCTCGCGTCAAAAAGTGGCGATATCTATGAGTAGTTAGTCCTGAAGCTGTGAAAAGTTGAGTAACTGGGCTCTTTCATCTAAAAATGTCAGAGTTCACGTCAAAAGACTTGAATAGCTTGGGACTGAGCATTTAAAAAAAAAAATTAATTATTATCGAAAAAAAAAAGAGAGAAGAAAATAATAAGTAAGCTTATGATCATGTTGGCCTGCCGATCCTTGTTCTTCAATGTTGAGATTTTGATTTTCAGTTGACCCAATTGCTAACTTTTGCTAGTTTAATATTTTGATTTCTTAGACGAGTTAGCCATGAATTGGACGAGTCTATGATTTCAGGAGCTAACCGGGAGAAATATGTCTTGACACTTAGCCACTAAAACTTGATTTTGGGATAAGCGTAGCTTGGCAGTAAATGAAATGAGAGTTAGCCATTGTTGAGTTTAGTGTTCCCATGCTTGAGGACAAGCATGATTTAAGTGTGAGGGGAATTGATAGGGTGTTAATTGTTAGTAATTTTATTGTTAATTCTCCTCTTTATCCTTGCCAAATATTGCTTTAATTGTCAATATATATTTATATTTGGTATTTGGATATAATTTCAGAAAGTGGAGCAGAAAAGTGCTAAAAGGGGACCTTCTTGAGAAGATTTCTCCACACGTGAGAAGCTTTCCACAATCAGCCCAAATTGTGCAAACCAACGGAATTGATGATGAAGAGTTGCCTTCCTATTATTAAGTCCTGGCAAGTCCACTAACAATAAGAAATCAAAAGGAGACAATTCTGCGGGGACCACGTAACATTGATTTAGAAAATGTGTTCTTCTTTTGGGAGATGTACTCATTAGCCATAGGTGGACTTTGATGATGAAAGTAGCTTTTCTATTTGCTTCCTACGTAACTAGTTCTCTTATGAAACTAGTGCGGAGGAGAATTAGAGGGAGAAGCTTCATAAGACATTAGACTAGTTTTAGTTTTCTCTCCAGGAAGCTCCGTAGGAGGATAGAGGTAGTTTTTGGTTTTCAGAGGAGGAGTTCTTCCTTCCTTGTTGTGTGGTGTGCAACTTTTCTTAAAAGAGTCTAGCGAGACTCAAGTTTCTTCCTAAATTCTTAATTAGTTATTTATGTATTTGATTCCATTTAAATTGCGTGAGAATTTTATCATGAGGCGTGGCTAATCTTCTCCTCTAGTCAAGGATCAACGCGAAGACGCAGTCCCAAATATCTGTGAGATCTAATTAATTTTACGTGTTCCTTAATTTATTAATATTTGCATGTTTTCTATTTTAATTTCCATGGGATTATTTTGTTAATTGGATATCAAGGGCCCGATGTGCAATTTGACTTATTAATCTCTTGTCAAATTAATCAATTAAATCCGTAATTGTTTAGTTGATTAATATTAGTGACAACTAGTATTTTCACATACTACGGGGACATGCAATCTGATTTAAATAACCCTCGTAGCGTGTTATTAATTTGGGTTAGGCTTTTCTAGTTTTTAATGCAATTAGGAAATTAATTCCTACGGTCGTACCAAGGAGTATTTCCTGGTTAGGGGTAATCAACGGTCGTACCTTGGTTATCAATAAATTAAGGAAAAGCTGGTCGTTAGAGTTTATCGGCGACTATAACTAACCTGTTAATAAAATTAAGTGAACCTTCTTTGCATCAATGATCGGATGAATGGACTGTGTCTGCGTAGTTGTATCCTTGGCTAGAATTTATTTATCATTTATTTAATTGCTATTTACAATTGTATTAATTAATTATTTATTTTTGGTTAAATTATTTAATTATTTTTAGTTAAATTGTTTAATTATTTTTAGTTTATTTCTGATAAAAATCCCCCGTGTCCCGAACTTGAAAGGAATCAAATTTTTCCCAGTCCCTGTGGATTCGACCCTACTCACTACTATACACAGAAAATTTATTTTTCTCGAGTAGGTATTTATTATTGCACAGGCTCGACACCTGTCAGTGAGTAGGGTCGAATCTACAGGGACTGGAGATAATTTATTTTTTTTAGAGTCCAGAGATAGGGGGTTTTATAAAAATAACTAATTAACTAAATAAAAACAACTCATGAAAATAAACAAGAATTAATCAATAAGAGATACGACTCTAGCCAAAGGTGCAACTTTTCAGACACGGTCCATTCAACTGATCATTGATGCAAAGATAATTCAATACTCATTAATAGATTGGTTATAATTGCTATACACGCGATAAACAACCAACTTTTTCTTATTTTTTCGATAGTCAAGGTACGACCATTAATTATTTTTCTAACCAAGAAATAACCCTAGATACAATCGTAGGAGTCAATTCCTCAATTGCATTAAGAATTAGTAAAACCCAACCCTCACCAACAAACAGGCTACGAGAGTTTATTTAAATTAGATTATACGTTTTCTTAACATGAGACCAATCACACTAGTCGTCATTGGTATTAATCGATTAAATAATTATGGATTTAATCGATTAATTTGCCAATAGATTATTAGGTTAATTCAAATATCGGACCCTTGACATTCAAATAACAAAACAATCATAAGAAGTTAAACCAGAAAACATACGAATACCAATGAATAAAAGAAATAAGTAAAATAATTCGATCTCACAGATATTTGGAACCGGGTCTTTAAGTTGACCTTCGACTAGAAAATAAAATTAGTTATTCTCCATTGAGAGTAACTCACGCAATTCTATTTAAGGAAATTACATCAACGTTCAACAAAAGAAGAAAAACGGAGAAGATGACCCGCCGAAGAGAAAAGCCAAGCGGCTCCTTCATCATAGCCAAGAAATAAGGAAACGACTAAAAGAAAATGCTACTGACTAGACTCCTACTACTACTAAACTACTACTACCCAAATGAAAGCAAGTTCCAATTGGCCCCAGAATAGTCACGGCAATTGTTGCCTTTTCGGAAGTGCTAATCACCCAAGAAACTAGCCAATCACTCCTATTTTGTAGATTTTTAAATAAAATAAACTTTCTATTAGATAAAAAAGATTGTCTCAAAAAGTCATGATAGCTGACTATACTAGTGTCCTAATAGGAATGGGACAAAGCCTGACTCCCATGACTTCAAACCAACTCCAATTCAAGGTTGAAAATCACGCGCCAAATTCCGAATTTCCGGACATGCGAAGTGGACCTTGACACGCTCACGCCGAATTGCACATAAATTAGTTAAAATTTACGTTCTTAACTCTTTTTCGCTCCAAATCTCTACAATCAACATAATTACCAAATATAAGTATATTCCACTAATTAACGTAATATTTGGTAAAATAAAAGAGGGAAATAACCATAAAATTAATGACACAAATACAACCTATCACTTTTCAACTTAATAACCTTGATGTTGTACTAAATCAGCATCGAACAAAATGAGCCAAAAAAAGGGGCTCTCGAATGTTTTTTTTAGTACTCTAATCACGAAATTATGAGCAACTGAGATCGCATTTGTGCTCTGTTTATTGTTGATAACCTTCTGAAGCAACAATTATCCTATAAGCCAATTGCAATATACGACTTAAACTATTTGTGACATGCATCAGTGCTATAATCTTGGAAGCGGTTGCATTATCAAAAAAAAAAATTTAAAATAAAAAGCCAACAACAGCAAAGTTTTTTATAAAATATATTTTAAATAACAGCCAAAAAAACTTTTAATGTAAAATTGGATTTTTATTCAAAGAAAAGTTTTAAAGTTTTCTTTTTAATGTTTATCATGTTTTATTCTACAACTGTCTGAAAGGTTTTTATCCCCGTTATAACAGTCATATCCTTCCCTTCCCATTTGATACCCATATGTATTTTTTTATAATCCTCATCTGATGTCAATTTTAATCTTCAACAACTCTTTTTTTCTTCCTTTTTTGGTCCGCGTCTTCAACAACTATTACTTTCTTATGGCTACGATTAAGCCACTTCGCATTGCCAAATTTTCTAATAATCCAAATTAATCAACGTAAATAAGTGTTTTGGAATTTCACACTAAATGTAAAAGGAAAAAAATCTCAAAAATATTTAAAAATGTTACTAGATTACTAATCACGTCCATGTTTTCGAGATTCCGAACATACGTATGTACTATTGAACAATGATTAGTACTTGTTTATGTCTAGGATTAAGCCTTAAAATAATTGATAAACAAGTGTTTTGGATTGCACACTAAAAGGGAAAAGATATCCAAGAATTAAAAAAAGTTAAATTGCTGACGTTGTTAATGTTGAATATATCCTTTTGCACAGTAATTATTATTTGGTCCTATTGTCAATGATCATACGAAAATGAAATTTGTCGGTTTCGACTGTCGAAGCGATTAAGTATGCTGATCTACTGTTTCAAACTCTGGCTCGGCTTTCAATAATAGAAGTCAATAAAATGTTATGCCGTCCACAAATGAGCCTCTAAGAAATATGTGTTTGAAGGCCTGACATCTTTGGTGGATGTTGGGGGTGGCACCGGCACGGTTGCTAGGTCCATTGCCAAAGCCTTCCCCAACTTAAAGTGCACTGTTCTTGATCTCCCACATGTGGTTGCCAACCAAGAGGAAACTCAGAACTTGGACTTCGCTGCAGCAGATATGTTAGAGGAGGTACCACCAGCCAATGCAATCTTACTCAAGGTAAAGATGTCAAACAAAATATCCTTATCCATTTTTAACCTTTTCCTTGTGTTGCCCCCTAAGGGTTCATCAATTTTTATATTTCCCGTGTCCCATATTCTTTTGCCATTTTGTGTGAACTCAACCTTTTTTTTTAATATAGTCATTTAAAAAAAATTCTAATTCTAACCATCCAAAACTTAATTTAAGTCTAGAAAGTGTGGTCCATGTCATTTACAACAAATAAGTGGGAAAGAGTAATAATGATGATTTCACCTTTTAGTGGATAACATTTAGAGACATGCAAAAATAACAAGCATCACACCTTAAAAAAACTAATGCAACGTTTACTTTGTCTTTTGCTTTTCACATTTTGGCTAAAATGCGTAATTATGTAAGACTTCAGAAATTTTGGGTCATTTATCATTATAAAAACAGCAAAGTAGTCATATCTACATCTGTTCTCATTAGAGCTGCAAACGAACCGAGTTGAGTCGAGTTTTGGACTTATCGAACCGAGTTCGACTTAATAATAGGTAGACTTGAGTTCGAGCTCAAGCTCGAGCTCGACGAGCCAAGAAAATTGAGTTCGAGCTCGATTTGACCAAGGAAAAGCCAGGCTTGAGCTCAAGTCGACAAGGCTCGCGAGCTGTACCTCGATTTCTAGCTCGCGAGCAGCTGGAATTGTCAGCTTGTAATGTAACTCGAATTTCTGACTCATGAGCAGCTCGTGAGCTCGAGTTTCTGAAAATTAATCTAATAAAAACAACAAATAATCATTTTTTCTTAATAAATAATAAAATATTAGGGATATATGTAATTTTACTAGTAAAATAATAAATAAATAAATAAATATATATATATATATACTCGAGCTCGCAATCCCGAGTTTAATATTTTGATCTCGAGTTCGATTTGGCTAGCTCGAATGCGACTCGAGTTTCATATTGATCGAGTTCGAGTCGAATTTTGACTCGAGCCGCTCGCGAGCGGTTTGGTTCGTTTGCAGCCCTAGTTCTCATGAAAAGTCAAAGATAAATGCACGAGTTCTTCAAATGCAGTTTATAGTAATCCACCCAAGGCTAAATTTTGAGCTTCAAAAATTCTATCTGTACTTCATTTTAATGTGTGATTTTATTTGTAACAGCGGATTCTCCATGACTGGAGCGATGAAGACTGTGTGAAGATACTCAAGAACTGCAAAAAGGCCATTCCAGGAAGAGACAAAGGGGGAAAAGTGATTATCATAGACATGGTGATGAAGAGCCAGTTAGAAAATCATGAGTCAGTTGAAGCCCAGATATGTTTGGACATGCAGATGGTACGGAAGAAGGGTGATGCATAGACACGGTGATGCAGATGTTGGTTCTTTATGGTGCCAAAGAAAGAACTGAGAAAGACTGGGCAATACTCTTCTGGGATGCTGGTTTCAACAGCTATAAAGTCTTTCCAGTGTTGGGTACAAGGGATCTCATTGAGGTTAATCCCTAATAAAGGAACGTTAGTACCATTACAACATAAACATATACATATTTATGGGTCTTGGTGTATACAAACAACAAAGATTACTTCCTGCAAGTGTTTTTTTCTGGTGCTTAATTTGTGGTAATGAAACACAGTGTTACATGCACCAAAGATTTGATATGTGCCAAAATTTGCACAATCTCTGCTCGGTCTTCACCAATCAGCTAAACTAAGTATCATGCAATCAGAATAGAAGACGACTCACTAATTGAAAAAAAAAAAGAAAAAAGATAGAAGACGATTCAGGAATACAATTAATAGATTGTTAGTTCAATTTTCTGTGTGACTTAAACAACCAAATACACTGGAGTATTATTGCTTATTGAATTGCTTTGACCAATAATTATCCGAGAACTCTTATCTGATCCCTCCTTGAAGGCGACATTACAATCATATTGGTCTTCAAGATAAAAAGGTATTATTGGTGCAAATTGGAATTGACCCTTCGTCTGACACAGCATCTTCTCTCGAAAACAAGTCCAATGACACTTTGCATTGCCACCTTTTGTGGAAACTCTGCGTTTTTATCGAATATTCGCTTAATACATTTTTCAAACATCTTTTTATTTCATGAAAATTACATTAAAAAAGTATAACAGTAATTTCTTTCCCAAAATCTCTTCCTCAAAATGCAATTCAAACAACCTCTTAATTTTCTTCAAAGGAAAGCTTTTAGTGCTCAAGCAAACATCACTCGCACTAGTATCACCTAACCAGTATTGCAGCTTCCCTTCATCCAATATGAAAACATCACGTGTAGGAGCTCATGTCAAACTCTTACCATATATTCAAGGTAAATTTTTACTTTAAAAAGAGATGGACAATCGTTTCTAGTTGGATTACTCTCACTATATTTATATATTTTGCTTTTAACACCTGGAGACTTGATGATGTACGAGTAGTTTTCTAAGTTCACGGGCCAAAGTTGAAGATTTATAAATTCAGTTTTTTATTTCATAGATAGATATACGTAACCAGGATTGAAACTCATGGTTTGCTCGTAATTTTATTCCTTGTTGCTAACCGTCAAATGTGCCTACATGTCGGTTATACTCCGTTCCACTTTGCGTATTGTGCATGGAAACTGAAGATGAATAAAATAGGGTGTCACTAACTATTGACTAGTGAAGCTTTGAAAAAAAAAACAGAAATAAAGAAAAGGAGAGCTCTTTCTGTAAATGAATTAATTTCTGAAGATCCATGCCACACTTTCTTGCCTAAAACCACTCTTAGGGTCTCCACGTCCCAGATTGCAAAATCTGCATACCTAATTGCCCAACTCGCAAAATTCAAATTTAATGCATTTGGGCCCAGATTAATCAATAATTTATTTTTACGCCAAACTGTAAAACTTAAGTTAATATTTGCAACAACATTTTTTCAAGAGAAAAAGCCCTCAAGTACACATAAGAAAACCTATACTATACACGAGATACAACTTTTAGGCTTTAGCCTTCTGCTATTTTATGTGAGAGGCCACATTAAACAAAATTTCCTTGACGAGTCAAAATTAAAGAATCGACCTTTTGTGAGCCCATACAAGATTAAAAAGCACCCCGACACTAATATGAGATTTTCTAATATAAAGTTCCAGCAATTGTAGTGAACAAGGAAGATGACATCCTTTTTTTGGATTTCCTTTTCTGTATCTGCTTGTAACATGGAAGATGTCTACCATTAAGAATACGGCAAAACAAATGCTATCCCGTCGATCCTCAAAGAGCTAGTCAAGCCCCCATAACCATTTGTTTCAACTTTTATGTCACCATCAATGGTGGTTGCTTCAATTTACTCTCAGTCTTGCCCGTGGTTCATTCGTTCTGAATTTTCTCAGTTACTAATTAATAATTGTAATTGCGTCAGCAATTAGATATTTTAATCAAATTACTTGGGCGTATTTATTTGGTGTGGTGAAGTTTGGCACCTCTAGATCCGCCAAACCTATTTAGATGCTTTGAAAGCCTGGAAACCAATCAAATATAGCCTTATAGGAGGCACAGGAGAAATCTACTTACTAGCATATAAATGGAGTCCTGCTTGACCATTTGTTATTTACAACTGAATTACAGCCATTGAATTTGAAAATAAAGTTCCCAAAAAGATGGAAAAAGCTGACAATTTAGGTGAGCTTCTTGAAGCTCAAACTCATGTGTGGAATGCAATGTTCCATTTCAAGAAATCTGCATGTGTAAAATGCGCAGTTGAGTTGGGAATCCCAGATGTGATCAGTAATCATGGGAAGCCCATCACACTTTCTGACCTGATTTCTGTCCTCCCAATCCACCCTTCTAAATCTGCCCACATTTTTCGCTTAATGCGATTCTTGGCTAACTCTGGATTCTTTGTTGAAGACCCTCAAGGCTATACACTCACCTCTGCAGGCCGGCTTCTTTTGAAAGATGAGCCATTCAATGTTCGGGCATTTATTTTTCTATCATGTGATCCTGCCCTGTTGAAGCCCTGGAATTTCTTGACCGAGTGGTTCCAGAATGATGATCCCTCTCCATTTGATACCGCATATGGGAATAATTTCTGGCATTACAATGCTCAAGAAGTTCGAATTGGAAACATGTTTAATGAGGCCATGGCTAGTGATAATCAGTTGTCGGTAGAAGTGCTGATGACCAAATGCAAGTCTGTGTTTGAAGGCATGACAACTCTTGCTGATGTTGGGGGTGGCACAGGCAAAGTTGCTAGGGCCATTGCCCAAAACTTTCCTGGCATAAAATGTACTGTATATGATCTCCCACACGTCGTTGCTAATCAAGGAGGAGCTGAGAACTTGGAATTTTTAGCTGGAGATATGTTTCAAAGTGTACCCCGTACTAATGCAATCTTGCTGAAGGTAACTAAAGCCATCTTGTCACTGAATTTCTGATTTTCTTATTAACTTTTAGATTTTTTTTTCTCTTGCTTGGAATTGGTTTGCATGATTTGAAACTTATGAAGGAGAATTAATTAATTTTTTCAATTAAAATTCTTGCGTTTTGCTATGATTTATCTATCTTGGTTTAATTACGTGTTTGTGATTGGCCACCATAGGCATTCTTTTAGGGTTTGTATGGAATTGAGAAGGAATATACAACCATGCACTAAATAGATAAACATACTTAGCCTAATCATGAGAGTAAGTTAGGATTTACATGACGCACTTATGTTACCAAGGTTCCAAAGGGGCTTAATTGAACATTTACAGTCTCAAGAGATGCGTAGAATTTGATTAAGCACACTTCAGATGTATCAAAAGATAATTTAAAATACAATTGTGTGAGACGTTCATAACTTGACAAGAAAAGTAATTGGAGAATCAATTCAACCTCTGGATTAAAACCTCAACCCTAGGCTTGCTTAACTATTGTTCCCTCGCTTCTTATCAATTTAATCAAATTAATTGTTAATTCTTCCATGATAATATAAAATCTCTTCTCGTTCACTCTTTTGTGAAAATAATTAAAGTGGAGAAATTTGATTTGTTCCTATGGGTTCAACCCTGGAATACTCCACGTTAATTAGTACTACGATCGACCCTATGCGCTTGCAGGAAATCGTCTATCACTATTTCTCCTGCAGATGCTGTTATAATGAAGGTAAGTTCACCTTTCCAAGATGATGCAACGGATCCATATTCACCTTTTTGTTGTTAAAGTCATTCTTAGCACTGATTCTGAACACATCTATACATGCTTCTGATTCATTACAACCATGTCTATATTACAGTAAAGCATTGGATCAGTCATGGAAGTTTATTCACAAATAGGGCATTAGCAAATCTTTTGGAGGGGGGGAGGCTTCTGTACTTCTTCTCAATTTCAATTTTCTTTAATAAATTTAACAGTGTTCCTGACTGATTTGAATTCTTTGCGATATGAATGTTAATTTAAACAGTGGATATTGCACAATTGGAATGATGAGGAATGTGTACAAATACTTAGGAAATGCAAAGAAGCAATTCCTAGCAAGGAAAATGGAGGGAAGGTGATAATCATAGACATGGTACTGAGTGACCAACAAAAAGAAGCTGATGACCATGAGGCAATTGAAACTCAACTTTTCTTTGATATGATGATGATGGTCCTTCTCAGAGGGAAACAAAGAAATGAGAGAGAGTGGGCAAAACTCTTTTCTGAGGCAGGATTCAATGATTATAAGATAACTCCAGTACTGGGCTTGAGATCCCTCATCGAAGTTTATTATTAGGAGTAGTGGATAGTTTTTTTGGACTATTTTTGTTAGACATGTGTATGAGGTCAACATGTTTATCTTTTCTTCTTTTACGATTGTAATCTTTTGTGGCATTTTCTTTTCATTTTCAATAAATCAATATTTTTTTTGGGAGGTGAAAATAGCTATGCAAGAATTTTCTGCAGGGCAATTCTGTCGGGCGGACATGCAAGTTACATGCTCAGCTCCTAGGATGATCGTCAGTATTCATTTCTTTTCATGGCCCGTCCCAGGGAAAGAATTTGAGGAATCATTCGTTAACCACAAGAGACAGACAACAGGGTAGATAACTTAGCCCAAAACTGAGACCCAACATTTAGCCCATTGTGCATGGGAATGTAAGTGAGTTAAATCAAAATGAACACTCTGATGTTTAAACTTGTTTGATTATTTTAACGAATTTAAAATTTTATTTAAGTTTGATTTATTTATTTATTCAATCGAACTTGAACGAGTTTTTATCGAATTTGAATGTTATCGAATATAAAATGCTATTCAAATTTGGTTTGACTAATCGGCGAATCAAACTCGAACGAGCTCTTAAATTTAGTTCAAGTATCGAATAGATTAGTTCATCATTCAACCCTAATCGTACGGTTTCAATTTCTGAATTTTCCTCATCAAAACCTTATTCTTGTTTCTTTTTTTATTGTTTTATACAATTTATCAAAATATAACTATGCACTAATTTCTTTTCACCTTCACACGAGCAGGCAAGAATTTCAAGAGTAAGGTATTATAAATTT